AGTGAATTATCTTAGAATAGAAAAAAGGAAAAAAATGAAAGCTAAAAATGATGGGAAAAAAGTGAGAACTAAGATGGATTAGGTTTTACAAGTGGGCTAATATTATCATTATTTTCTCTGTAATGGACCAGTTTATAACTAATAATACTAGCTTTTCACTAATAATTTTCCCTTTCCACTTAGATATACATATTTAAAGAATGTATAAGTATTAAAGAGACATTAGATAATAAATTAAATATATATATTTTTTGAATCTTTTTATATAAATTTCTAATTCCGTCATCTGATTTAAATCATATCCACTCACATAACAAACCGCTTATGCACCATCTATTCAATTTAACCATTGACAAATACCGTATCGAGCTTTCTATATTAAGCTTATTGTTGTAGGTCTACTTAAGTCGATAGGTTAAAAACTTTATAAAGTTATTACAACGAATAATTTTCCCCAAAAAATATTACCATTATTTTGTCATATAGAAGAATTTTCAGACCTTATTATAAATTTATAATATTAAGCAAAATCCTGTAAGGTTTTGTTGTACTTGCCACACTAAGGAGACTTTCAACAACATTTATATTCTCACAACAAATCCACCTTTTTAAAAAACTATATGAACTATCAATCTTATGTTCATTTTCATACTCAAATCAAGAAAAAAAAACATCTCAATCCAAAATCCCACAAAAATTCTCAAAAAATGTTCATCAAATTTGCAATTCTATTTGTATTTGTACCATTTGTAGTTGCAATTGATCATGTAAGTACAAGTACATCACAAGAACCGATTCTTGAATTGTACATGCACGATATCTTGGGAGGAAATAATCCAACAGCCCGGCCAATAACCGGTTTATTAGGCAATATTTATAGTGGACAAATACCATTTGCAAGACCACTTGGATTTCAACCTCCAAAAGATGGTGTTGCAATTCCAAATGCTAATGGTGCAATGCCAACATTCAATATCAATGGTGTTCCATTAGGGACAGGTCTAGCAGGCACAATATTTGCTGGAGGAAATAATAATAATAATAATAATAATGGACAAAATGTGAATACTCAATTAGGCCCTGATGGTCTAGGGCTAGGGTTCGGGACGATCACGGTTATCGATGACTTCTTGACCTCGTCTCCTGAATTAGGTACTGTAGACACATAATTCTTGACCCTCCCTTCTTAATTTCTTACTTTTTTAAAAAAAAACTAGTTTCTAGTTTAAACATTTCTTCTGTGTCACTTCAATATCTAAATTTTGATTTCATTTTGAGGATATCGAAAAGAAGCGTAATACATAAATGTGCCTTTTAACTTGACCTCATTTCACATATATGCCCTCCAACTTTAGTAGACACATGAGTCCTTGTGGCATAATACATGTAGAACACCAAGTAGGATACAAATTGCCAGGTAGGATGTCACGTAAGACACATGTGTCTATTTGTTCAACCTTATACAAGTTTAAGTGTCTATTTGTGCATATCCAAAGTTGGAGGGCATAACTGTGAGTTGAGGCCAAGCTAAAGAACATATTTATGTATTATGCCTATCGAAAAGTGAAAAATATAGTACATAAACAAAAGCTCAAACTTGGCCAGACCTGGCAGGTAAACACGTCAACGTTGAGTATGCACGTCTAGATACCTCAACGCTGAGTATTCATTGTGCCTTTATTTCTTTATATCTCGACTCCCCTTAGTGAAAACAAATCCTAGCTCCGCGCCAACGCTACATATTGAGTGAAATTTTTAACATTCTTGAGTTTACAGGTACACAAAACCTTGGAAAAGCACAAGGAGTATATGTAGCAAGTTCAGCAGATGGAAGTACTCAAATGATGGCATTTACAGCTATGTTTGAAGGAGGTGAATATGGTGATAGTCTTAATTTCTTTGGAGTTTTTAGAATTGGAAGTACAATGTCAAGAATTTCAGTAACAGGAGGAACTGGTAAATTTAAAAACGCGTGTGGATTCGCGGAAATACGTTCACTTATACCAGCTGGTCAACATGTTACTGATGGTGCAGAGACATTGTTGAGGATTGTTGTTCATCTTACTTACTGAATTTGCTTTAATTTGATGTAATTTTGTTTGTGTGGATTCTGTTTTGTTTGATAACTATGAATATTATAGCTTTGGTTTTGTGTTACATATTGTCTTGTTTCATTGTGGCAAAGTGAATATATATCTCTATGTATTCCTCTATCCGTAGAGTATAACGAATGTATTGTGGATCAATACAACATTTCCGAGAGGGTGGGATGTATGTAGACGTTGCTCCTACCTTTGTAGCAGAGGAGGTTAATAGACGCTCTGTAGTATATAGACGCTCAGCTCAAAAGAATATGTTTCAATTACCATGTTCTTAAAACCAATGCAGATAGCAGAGTTCATGGAAACACAAAAGTTACAAAGTTTTTTAAACTCACCGAGACAAAAAACACTAGGTGACTCTTCTCATTTGTCCTAGTCTTGGTGGACAGAGTTACATGGTACCTGTTGCTGGTAGGAGGTGGTAGGTATTCTGTGGAATTAGTTGAGGTGCGCGAAAACTGGCCTGGACACCACGGTCATGACACTATGATGACAACAATATAACAGATACAATAAACCGAATGTATCAAATGTAAAACAGAAGAAGAATACAGAGCTAGTATTTTACCATTACTGCATTTCAGGCGTATTTTCAATACTGTCAAGATAAGGCGAAACAAGGCTCTCAGCATAGACAGTTGCTGCTCCAACACCATCACCATTCATTTCACAAATCTCCAGGCATTTATACTCATCATTCTTCGAGTCATACACCATAACACGCGTTCCATCATGCAACAACACTTCACCACCGATGTCTGATATCCACAACGGTGATATACAAGGCCCTACTCCCCTTACATAAGGAAGGGAAACCGATTTAATCCAACACCCTTTCGCGTTATACTCCTTCATTATCCATACATCCAACTTAACTTTATAATAGTCACAAAACAAACAAAGAAAATCCCCTAACTTCCCTAATGACCAATTCATAGTCCCTAGTTCAAAATCACTTGAATCTCCTAATGACCTTGAATGATCAAAACCATCAAAACTAGGCAATGCAAAATTCCCAAATTTCTCATTTTTCAAGTTAAGTGAAACTATATCCCAATAAATACAAGATCCATCATTATGTGCCACTGCCCAATGAACACATCCATTCAAGAAAACACCAGAGTCAGAGGAAAAAAGTGCATCACTATATTTTTTCATAATTTTCCAAGAATTTGACCTTAAACTATAAATCTTGATATTTGCATCATATACATAGTGAATATCATAAACCCCATAAATCTCAACAACTTTATAATCATCATTAAACTCATCATAACCAAAACCAAAAGTAACATCACATCTTGAATACTTAGTACAACTAGAAGAAGGCAAACTCTTGTTTTTTCTAGTAGATGGATTCCACAAATACAAGTTATTATTGTACATACCAATACAAATCAAGAACAAACCATTACATAAAGAAACTCCAGCTATAATGTTTGATGGATTCCAAGGGAAATTGAGTTTGTTGAGACAAAGATTGGATTTTCATGCAATGTAGAGTAAAGGGTGCAAGAATATAGAGTATGAGGTAGATACATGGAGAGTAAAAGGAGATTTTTGTGTGATAAATTGTTGTTTCTTGATGATATGTTTAAATGAGATTTCGAAAAATGAGATGATGAAATTAATGAAAGCCATGATTTCGAAACAGACTTGAATTTCAAGAGTGATTTGACTGGTAATCTTGAAAGTATTTCTATGATGATCTCTAGTGGGAAATTTGGAATATGTATTTGATCATTGGGAATGGTGTTTTTCATCTCATTGTTTGTGGACATTATTGGCTTTAGGATTTTTGAAGAATGTTATAAAGTTGACTCGTAAATGAAAAGGAATGAAAATACCAAACTTGATAACAAAGTTTTCTTTTCTTTTTTGATGCTCCAATGGTCAACTCTTATAATTTATTAATTAATTCCATTCTTTAACATATCCTGTGATTTTGTTGTTATATTCTAGATCCAACAACACAGTTTATAATTAAGTCCCTCTTTGTGTATTTTCAGTAATGTTTGTGCAACTCAATAAATAGACATCTCACTGATATAAAAGACATTTCATCTATAAATATTGAGTTACAGTGGTTATTACTCATTTATCATTTAATAAGATATTTCGGTGAATTTAAGCTCTAGTATAAAGTTACTTTTTGTTAGAGGACATTTTATTCTTAATATACTATTTTTTAGCTTATATCTAAATTTAGTCAGATTTCAATGAGTGTATTAGACATCCAAATGAAACAAAAGAGATATTCATAGTTTTCAATATTAAATTAGACTGTTTACATCACACCTTTTGAGTGCGGTCCTTCCTTAAATCATACTAACTCGAAATATTTTAAACATTGACTATATTTAGTCGGACTTCAACGAATGTATTAAACATTGAAGGAGAAACAAGAGAGTTATTTATGGTTTTCTATATTAAATTAGTCTGTTACATCACACTTTTTGAATACGATCTCTTTCTTAATTCATACTAACTCGAGATATTTTAAACATCGGCCACATTTAATCGGACTTCAACAAACATATTAGACATCAAAGGAGAAATAAAAGAAACAAAAGAGTTACTTATTTATGATTTCTATAGTATTAGATTAGTCTAGCTACATCACACCTTTTGAGTATGATCCCTTTCTTGAATCATACCAAACTCGGGATATTTTGTACATCGACTATATTTGGATATTCTAGAAACTTGATATGCCGCCCATTCACATCCCAAATTTGAACAAGTCATGAGAATCAAATCAATCATCAAATTCACAGACAACAGAAGAAGGCAGTGTGACTGAGAAAACCAAAGAAAAGAACCAAACCATTTACAGTAACATTCTTACATATATAAAATATTAACTATTTCAAGAAGCTGTTTGTAAATCCCAAGAAAATGCACCACCACCACCACCCTCCTCCACCAACCACCACCAGAACCACCACCACCACCAAAATCTCAACACACTTTATCATTCTTGCCACCACTATCTTCTCACTTCTCCTTATTCTTACCTTCTCCTTCAGTTCCCGTCCACCCCACCCCCACCCCAACCAACCCCACCCTTCCCTTTTCCCAAATCATCAACCCCATCGTCTCCTTTTTCATCACAACCCAAATGACCAAAATACCCTTCTACCCCCACCCCCTGCCATAGCTTACCTCATCTCTGGATCCACAAAAGACACCTCAAGAATCATCCGTTTGCTATTTGCAGTATACCATCCAAGAAATCAGTATCTTCTTCATCTTGATAGAAAAGCTTCTCAATATGAACGTGATGATCTTGCACTGTATGTTCAATCTGTGCCTCTTTTTAAAGCTGCCCAGAATGTGAATTTTATTGGAAAAGCTGATTCTGTTTACCCAATGGGGTCTTCTGCTTTGTCTGCTACTCTTCATGGAGCTGCTATTCTTCTGCGTGTTTCTGCTCAATGGGATTGGTTTATTAATCTATCTGCTGATGATTATCCACTTGTTACTCAAGATGGTATGAATTATGTGTAAAGATTTAATCTTTTTGATGTTTTTACTGGATTTAGTGTGTGTTGATTGTCCATTTGTTTGTCAAAACTCTATATGCATGTTGGATACTGTTGAAGATATGCGCTGTTTAGTGTAAAAATTGAGTCTTTTTTGAAAAGTATGTGTAAAGATTTAATCTTTTGGTGTTGTTACTGGATTTAGTGTCTGCTGATTATCCTATTGTTAGTCAAAACTCTGTATGCATGTTGGATAATGTTGAAGATATGCATACTATGAGAGATAAGATTAAGAATAAGGATACTTGGGACAAGGTGGGAGTAGCCTTTGTGGTGAGGAGAGGTAAAGGTAGAGGTAGAGGTAGGCTGAAGAAGTATTGGTGAAAAGGTGATAAGACAGGACATGACACAATTTCAGCATACCAAGACTTAGATAGGAGGGTGTGGAGATAGCGGATAAGTGTAGAATGTTAGTAGGTAGTTAAGCTTGGACTCGCTTTTCGATGGGTTAAGGCTTGGTGGGAGTCTGGGAGCACTATGTTTGTTGTAGTATTAGCCTTATACATGTATTTTCTTTTCAGTTACCACATTATTTCGCTGATGTTACTGTTTCTTTTCTCGGAATATTCTGTACTGCTTTCCTTATTAATTGACATGTTTTCTTCACTATCGAATTCCCTTTTTCGTAAATACTTTGATTTGCTGTTTTTGAGACGAGGGTCTTTTGGGACTCTACCCGTCCCAAACCCCACTTGTGGGATTACACTAGGTATGTTTGCTGTTTGTTGTTGTTGTTGTAAACTGTTTGTTACTGGATTTAGTGTATGCTGATTATCCAATTGTTACTCAAGACTCTGAGATATGCATATTGGATAATGTTAAAGATGTGTTCTTTTTAGTGATTGTTGAGTAACTGGAGTATGCTTCTACTGAATTTTTAGCTTATGTAGGGAATTTAGGATCCTAATTATATTTTGCTAAAGATGGAATATTTGTAGAAACAGTGAGTACACTTTGTGGTAAGGAGTTATCCGATCATTTTTTTTATGAAGAGGAGTTATCCGATCATTGTGAAGCACAACAACATCATACCCCGTGTAGTCCCACAAGTGGGGTCTGGGGAGGATAGGATGTACGCAGCGTTACTGCCAGGGGCAGATCTAGAAGCCGACATATGGCTTGCTTGAACCTGTGGTGTTAGTTCAAACCCTGCTTTCTTATTAAGAAATTCACATTTAGAAACCAGTTACCTACACTTGATGTCGCTAGGAAATACTGGTTCCGCCTCTGGTTACTGCCCTTAGCAGAAATGTGGCATTGTGGAACAGATATAGGGAGACCTTGGACTTAAGCTTTGCGGTCCAAATTGTTATCCTTTTGTTTTACAAGTAGTATAGTTTTGTCTGCATGAAGCAACAACAAAAAACATCTCTTATCCTGGGTGATTTGAGCTTGTCTTGGCTCTCGCCTCTCTACGTTGATAGAATGCCGAAGGAAAAAAATGATTAGGATATTTAAGTTGTTATTTTTCTAGGATGTAAGCTGGTAGTCTGGTACATTCTTCTTGACTTTGGTATTAATGGATGTACAGATGTATTTTCCTTTTCCTTTACTGTTTATCACTTCAATAGAGGCATTAAAATTTGATTCTATTCAATGGATCTAATTATGTCATTGGACTCATTTCTCACGACAACACACGTTCACTTAGGTAATGACTGATGAGTAATCTGATGCTATTTTCTATTGATTTTCAGATCTTCTACACATTCTGTCATATATACCCAAGGATCTTAATTTTGTCAACCACACAAGCTACATTGGGTGGAGAGAGTATGGCCATATCCTTTTCGTATTATAAGTTTCTTTCTGTCTAAGCATGTATGCACATGGATAGAGGCAAGTAATGTATGGTTTTAGATCTTAATATATGAGTGTTTTGGATGTTCCAGGTCACGGAAGTTGAAACCAATAGTTGTTGATCCTGGGCTCTATCTTGAAGAGGAAGATGAAGTATTTTATGCAACTCAGAAAAGGGAACTGCCTGATGCTTATCGATTATTTTCAGGTCAGATGCTTGGTAGCCATATTTTTTGCATTATGAATGATGAAAGCATGAATATATTTGTGTTATTTAATCCCCTTGAATGTTTGATTGAAAAAAATAATAATCTTGATATGAAGTGTACAACTATAACGCTTTGTTCCTGTTAAAAAGAAAAGAGTAAAAAATGAAGTAGAACATAGAGATTGTAAAAGTAACTTTGAGATGAAGTAACCCAGTGCACAATGCATCCCACCTTACAAGGGTCCTGGGAAGAACCGCACACTAAGGGGTGTGATGTAGACAACTACCCTAATGCAAGCATTAATGACTGCTTCCACGGCTCAAACATGTGACCTATACGACACACGGAGACAACTTTACCGCATCTGAGTACCTCTAAATGTCCATCCTTCTCCAAATCTTTATGCAGAAAATGCTAAACTAGATGGCCATGACTCTAAGACATTTTAGCTACATTGTACACAGAAAATCGATTTCAGTTTAGAATCAAAATCTTTCAGTCAATGAATCTACAACGCATCACCCATGTTCCAAGTGTCTACTATTTTATCCTTCACCTTGAAAAGGCCCCAACATTTTTTCGGAATTTAAATCTTTTTGGATATGTGACAACTAGGGCAAGGGTGTGTAGTAGTAGTAAAGCAACCACCCTATTGTGTTACTGGTTCGATATGTGTTTAAATTGTTTAAGTCTAATACTAACAAACTTGTCCTCTTGGCTACAGGGTCTTCATCTAGTGTCTTGAGTCGGAAGTTTATCGAGTTCTGCATCTTGGGCACGGATAACCTACCCAGGACTCTGCTAATGTACTTGTCAAATTCACCATCCTCGGCATCTGTGTATTTCCCGACCATTCTGTGCAATTCAAGGAAATACAATAGAACAACAATCAACCACAACTTGCGGTATGCTTCATTTAACTCAAGACAAGAGGTCCTTCCACTCAATACCAGTGACTTCAATGACCTGGTGATGAGTGGAGCAGTATTTGCTGCACCATTTGAGGCAAACAATCCGATTCTTGACCAGATCGACCATGAACTTCTCCACCACAAGCACGATGAACCAGTCCCTGGCGGATGGTGTTTAGGTGAAAATGAAACTGATAAATGTACTGTCTGGGGAGACGCTGAAGTTCTAAGACCAGGTCCAGGAGCACAGAGACTGGAAAAAAGATTTGTCCAGATTTTCAGTAATGGTACATTTCTTTCTAGTCGATGTATCTACGAATAGAGCTCCCTCAAGATGAGAACTTACAGAAGAGACAAGCACTCGAAAAATGTTTTCTATCGAAAACAACCTCTCTACCTCCCAAGGTAGGGATAAGGTCTGTGTACAGCCGTACACACTACCCTCCCCAGACTCAGACACTGGGTATGTTGTTGACTCGAAAAGAACTACACGAGCAAAAATATACAGAAGACCAAGTGCTCATGTAGTTTTTTATTAGCAATTTTGATAGAGATCTCATTGTTGTATATTGATTATTTTTTTTAAGGTAAGGTTGTATATTGGTCTATTGGGCTGGCTAGCTACTACTAGGGCAATGGAAATCATTTTATAAAATCATGGATCTTACTACTTGTTCAACTTTGTGTTTTCATTCAACCACAAGAGCTTAATGGAGCGATATGGTTAGTGGAGATTCATATAGTCAATCTCAACTTGCTTCGCATGAACTAATTAGTTTCTTAGTTTCTGTTCTTCTATGAACCACTTGACAGAAGAATTCACTAGTGTTGAGTACCCAAGAGATTACCTGCTCAAACAACTCGACCACACTCACGGATATACATAACAATGCATTTCAAAATTAAATGAGTTCTTTGCTATACAAATTAGCACATTTTTAACAATGCCAACTTGGGAACAAATAAATAGTACATCTTTTTGTCTTCTTTAATGACAAAGTGATAGAACTTATTACAACAGAAAGAACAGAAATCTTGATTCTTTCACATATACAAAACTTGTACAACAATCATGAAAAATTTTCTGATAGGAGCCATAGGATTGCACATACATACAGCTCTCGTGTTGCCTAAGAACCACTAATATAGTTTCTTCTACTTATTCTACAGTAGTACAAGAATGTCATTGTTTTATGCCAAGCATGAACATGTTACTGATCTATGGTACCATCAGGAGTTTCCTGCCCTCTACCACTAGCGTTTCTCGCGTATCTATCCAGTCTAAATAGGCGTCTTAGAACTTCTCGACACTGTCTTCTTTTTCTGTAGAACTTGGTTAAAAGACTCCAAACAAAGTAGCAACAGCAAATATTAAGAATAGAACTCCACCCAAGTAGCCAACCTGTTGTATAACCAAGATAATATGCTTAGAACTCAAAATACAATTATGTAGAGCAGATTCGGGGAAAAAAAAGGCGCTGGCTTACCAGTTTCTCAGAAATGTAATTGGCAAGAAACCCGCCTCCTAGTATTGCAATAGATGTAGCAACCAGGTGTCCGGCAATGGCACCACTTGCCACACCCCATGGAGACTGCGAAATAGAGTCAGTATGGCAGTGAGGAAATAAACAGAAGTTTGGAGAGTTTGAAACTTAAATTTTATGGGAAGCTCGGAAAATATATCGTTAGTTTTGAATTTCATAGAAACTGTACCTGAGCTGCACCAAGTGCTATCGTTGCAAGCATTGATCGATCTCCCCATTCCTAGGAGGCAAAAAAAGCATTAAGATTCCTAACTTAAAAATTACAACAGGCCTCGATGTTCTTTAGCAACTGGATATAGTTACATAACACTTTCTAGACTTAAATGTTGTGAATGCGAAACCACAGAAACTAGTTCTAGTCTTCCATGTCACACTCAAACAACTTACATTAACACTATAAAAATGATACAAATGACTTGATTTTTTTATTAAATAAATGTTGGCGTCCTGGAAGCTTGCACTCTATCTACCATCTACACTACATTTTGCATTGGCTCCTTCTTTGAAAAAGGGAGTAGAAAAGAAACAATGTTGCATCCAGAAGAAGATACTTACAGCAAAAAATACGAGGCTAAAAGACTTCCACAAAATTTCAAGCGGATTTGTGAGCCGTTTTGATGCCTGAAATAGCCATCTATTAAATCGTTAGAACCAGCTTGTTGAAGATGCAAGTGGTGCAAACATGGAGACAGGAAAGAGAATGAAGTCATCCCCATAATTACTTGTTCTGATGATTAAGACATTTGGAAGTGCAGAATTCTCAGAGAATAAAACAGCATTTAAGAGTGACATTCAGCAGCTTTTTCACCTTTTCCTTCACAAGCTCCTCAGCTTCTGCAAATTCATCAAGTTCCTGACTACTCTTTTCACCAGTCTCAACATCTTTGCTTGGAAGTTCCCATGCATCTTTAATTGATTTGAGACCAAAAAAGAACAAGAGGGCAACAGCTGCGTATTCTCCAATAGGCAAGGCTGTTATGAAAAACAATTGGGAATTTTCAAATGAATATCAAGCAAAAATCAAGAAGGAGAACACAAACAAACAAAAGATGGTACGTGGAAATTTAGCTGGTGGGCAATGTGTTCTGCCCAAAACAGTGAAGGAATCTGTTTCTAGCTGGTAAGGGAAGAAAATAAAGGAGCTCAAGATAGTTTGGATACCAATGGCGTGCATCTTTGATGGTTTGGAAGGAGGGGAACTTTAAATTCTCTGAGGGAAATGCTATCGTGTATGAAATATAGGTCATTGCAAGCTCTGGATGTTTTGTGTAACTCGAGTAGTTCTGGTGGCCAAAAGGGTGTGTTTTCAGTGTGCATGTGCAAGAAAAGGTACACTAGGAGAAACAAACACTATAAAAATACCACAACAGTCTATACTTCACAGGACGAGACATTATCAAGCAAGAGTAAGAAGCGCTATATAACCAAACTTGCCGAGAGAATGTTAAGTTCTAATATCCAATGATCGGCATACTTGATGAGCCAGTCATAATGTACCCAAACAAACTTATCAGTAAGCTTGCTGCCAACTAATGCGCATATTAACCATTTACTTTCTGAGAACATGAACCCAATTTAGGATAAGTTTGCTTCAACAAAAGGAAATGCTAAGAAAAATGTGCCAATATATATAGATCCCAAGGAGCCAATCAGAAAACTAAAAATAAAAACAAATAACAGTCCCAAGGTCTAACTTACTTGTTTGAAACTGAGCAGGTACTGAATGGAAGATCCTTCCTATTATGACAGAGAAGACCGTCATAAGTGAAAGAGCACCCATTGATCCCAAAAGGACCTGGTCATTGATGCAACTTAAGTAAGATAAAGAATTGAACAAAACAGAAGTGACCACAACATTACATTTCTGTATAGCAGTAGCAAGAAATACTAAAACCAAAATGCATTTACACTATATCAATATTCAATCTACGAACTTGTGTGCGCAAGTCTATATTAAACCCCATTTTTATATTTCAACAAGTTTCAATAAGTTTTTGAATTTCATTTGCTTTCACATAATTAGGCAACATTATAACTCCTAACTAATAATTATATGATGAAAAATGGATTGCGTCCTTTTTCAGTTTGATAAAAAATTCTACAAACAAATCCTGCAACCACCAAATGATCGTAATCTAGGATCCCCATCCTCAAAATTTCTGCCAGTAATGATAGCCTATAAGGAAAGAATGCTACAAGATACCAAAAAAAATAGTTTTAGGTATGAAAGCTTCAAGTGGATTGCTTTAAAGATATACCTAAGTTCAGTCACAATTATTCACTTTTATTCTCTTAAAACTTAATATCCTTAGATGCAAAAGAGATAGAAAAGGAGAAGTAAGGGACAAGGAATGCAAAAGTTCATACCAGTATTCTCTTATATTGCATGGCCAAGAGGGCAGCGATGAAAAATGTCTGTTGAATTGCATATTAAAGAAAGAATTAGTTAGATTTTTTGAATAAGACAAATTATCTCAAAACTTGCATAGGACAAAAGCAGATCCCAGATTAAATAACTCAATCAATTAGCTGGGAATACATTCATATCAGTAGAATCATGTACAGTGTCACAAGGCTCATTCTGAAAGCATCAAAGTTTTTCAATAAAAGACACCAAAGACAGAAACTTTTGCTAATTGATGCATAAATGCTTAGCCATGATTATGTGTTACACCACTTTTACACCTACAAGGTATTTATGTCAATGCCAGATATAAGACCATTAGCACTAGCCATATCAAAGAGAATGAAAAGGTTAAGAACCAAAGAAATGAAAGGATAAAAAAAAGTCATGAGTTCAGGAAAAGCTATATTGTCTCAATCTCTCCATTTACCTTGTCTCCAATCTCAGAAACAAATATCAACGAGAATGCAGCAGTGAAACCTGATTTCGCAAATGCTGCAATGAGTGATGACGGTCCTCCTTTCGTGAAGGCAATCAGTGAAAATACTAACGAACATCCACATAGCACAAGAGCTATAGCGAGAGGATAAGGAATTTTACTAGGAAGTGCCTCACTGCCATTCATGAAAGTTAAACCTACATAAGTGTCATATCTTGTGAAAGTTCCTATTTAGTTAGTTGCAATCAAACTAAAACCTGTTTTCTCATATGAAAATGCATGAAGATACCTAGAAAGTCAGAAGAGTTCATGTTCGATATATCAAAGACTAGGATTCTATAACTTAATACATGTGTAATAAAATATGATTGCAGCCTGAACCTCTTCCTTTCATTCTTGAAGGAAAGAAAACGTAATCAAATTGCAATCTGTAATTGTGACTACACTGACAGTTGAAGTCATTATAGATACTCCTTTTTATTTGTGTTTTTCTAAAGGGAATTCTTGAAGTTTTATTATGTAAACAGAACTCCCGAAACATAGGCCACATGCCGAAAGTAGAGGCGTCTGTTGGACATTGACAGATGCTTTTGATCAAGCTGCATTAAGGTGATATACTTGTGATATTGAGAGTTTAAATGTGAAATTTTTTGCATTGGACGAATCAGGGAACACTACTTCTTTGTTTCTTGACACCAAATTACCAGCACCACAAGACAATTTCATAAGTATAATGTATATTGTTCATATCATATTAGTCCATCCCCCAAAAAACTTTCATAAGCCATTAAACTTTATCATCCAATCATCCTTGTGATGTGAGGTTTAACGGGATCAAGTACTTAAACATGCACTCTTGATAAATCCAGCCATTGGCAGGATAATAGTTATCCCACAAACCAAATGCACTCTTAACTCTAGGGACCCTTTACAAAAGATTTAACAGCCTATCTTCCTCTACCCGTATACTTGTTAACAACATGCTCTTTATGCAGAAAAGAAATTTAAAGTATTCACCAAACCTTTCACAATTTTGTATG